GTTTAATGCAGAAATGTTAATATAGCTTTTATTAAGGAGCGAGCCGTCTGGAAAGAACCAGAAGCAGAAATAAAATTCACCGTTTGCAGAAGAGCTGCAGCAGTTTTCCTCCTGTTCAGACAGTCAGCGAACATAATGACAGGAAAGTCTCAGACGTCTTTATCTCGTCAGCCGGGAGCTTCTCACACACTGCCGAACACTTCAGTGCAGCCAGAACTTCCTCTGAGTCAAACTTTACCTCCAGCTCTGCGGGTCAAACAAACAAACAAACAAAAAGGGCAGTTAGTTGTGTCATTGCCCCCACCTCCTCTCAGCCGGGCCTAGTGTCCCCCCACGGCCTGCGATCTGACGTTATAGTCCATTTGACAGTTGGTGGCAGACTCTGTCTAATCTTATCGGCCTTTAAATCTGCCCATGAACCATCGGTGGGAGTCTATCAGGGGTAATAGTGCGTAACTGTTTGCCCCGGCGGTGCAGTCTGTCTAATGTTATTGCTCCTCAACATCTGCCGAGGAGACATTTGATTGTTTGTTGGGGCTTTCCCTGAGGCCACGTCAGCGTGCAGCGCCCCCCGGTGGCGGTTAGAGACGGCGATCAATAAACAGGAAGAGGACGCTGCGTTTAACGAGGAGAAAGTTTCCTCCGAGACGGCGGATTTACAGTCTGAGACACTTTAATATTTAAATCTACTCATTTATTTTACAGCTGCTGATTCACTTCAATAGATTCACCTCTTCTCCTTTCTTTCTTTGCTCCCTTCTTCTCTCAGTAAACGTTGCTTGAGGGTCTATTTTCTGTTTGCTGGTAAACGCCTCACTGCTACACTGTGTGTGTGTGTGTGGTGTGTGCGTGGGTTGTGTGTGTGTGTGTGGAGACGGTGCTCGAAAGAACAGGATTTGGGTGGACAAGATCAACAACCCAAACCATTTATTACAAATGAAACTTACAGCCCCTGCTCTGACCATATTATTCAAAACACCACACACACACACACACACACACACACAGATAAAGAAACGATCCACACTGGACTCAATACCAGTAATTAAGGGTCGGTTCGTGGGTCTCGTGCCGGGGATGGAGTTACAGCGGCTTGGCGTCTCTGTGCAGTGGACTGACTGCAAACTGGAAAACAAACATGCTGTTATCAGGGCGAAGTACGAGCAGAGAGGTGGTGTTCGCAGTCCTTCATCTCGATGGCTCGGCTCCTCCTGCCTCTGTGTTCGGTTGAAGGGCGGGACCATGGGGGGGGTGTAGGGAGTATTGATGTCCCCCAGAGGATGAATCCTCACGACTGTTGGAAGCAAACAATCAGCATTTGTGTCAGACCATCATCTCAATCGGCTGTGGTTTGGTTTAGTCTTGGGTTCTCCAACCTGAAGGAGTCCGGACCCCATAAAGGGGGTTGCAAAGGTCATTTCTGGGGGTCGACAAAACGGTTGTGGGAAAATAAAATTAACATGGCATATTGTGGCTCATGAGCTGCTGTACAGAGTCTGTTGTTATACACGTTAACTCGGTAAACCGCAGTAATATAGAGGACTGTGTCTCCTTCCTGCTGTCGGGCTTTTAGGCCTAAAGTGGACCCACTGTTAACTGGTCCGTCTGTGAGCAAAGCAAACGGTTTCTCCTGTGTGAGTAGGTAGCTTTCGATGTGAAAGGTTGAGAACCACCTGTTTTAAAAGGACGTGAATTCTCATTAAGACAAACACCAATTCCCGAGGGGGGGGGCCGGTCCTTGTGTCGCGAGCCGAGCGGCGAAGGGGCGGGACCGGCGTAACAGGAACGGAGAAACGGGTCATGGTACAAGGGTCGCTGGTAGGCGTCCTCGGGGAAACCGGTTAGCGTGTTGTTGCCAAGGTTAAGCATCCTGAACTAGAGCCTGTCAATCAAGCAATCAGAGGGTCAAAAGGTCAATCATCAAGTCAAGTGTGTAGTGGAAGGGCCAAAACATTGATGGGGGGAGAAGGAAATAGCATGACATCCTTGGGTAAATGTTGGAATGACCAAGCTACAGTGCTCTCCAGCTATCCCCAAAGCTACGTTCATAACACTAAAGCGATTCTCTGAGTCGGAGAAATATCGGCTTCAAATTTCAAAGGTCCAATGAGTCAACTACAACTCCCAGGAGGTCCATTTTGGCCGATAACAATCAAATCAGAGCTTAAAATAGACTATTAACATTCTCTACTAACGTGAATCACCTGTGACAATAAAGTAAACAACATTTTCTTCCCTCATTTCTTCTCCTCTCTTCCTCCTAATTGTCTCTCGACTCGGTCAGCCGGGGTCGGCGGTTAGGGGGGTGTCCTCCTCGCTGTGGTTGCGTGTGGGTGGGGGTGAAACTGGTCAGAGGAGGAACTGGAGAAAAAGCCTGTTGGACGATGATTCTTCCTTCCATCTGCTGCCAGATGGTTTAATTTTGCCCCTATTCTCCCGTCTTCCTTGCCCGCCATCAGAAGGTTCACTCAAAGAAAGACGTTTAACCTCTCACAGTGGGATCCGCCGTGAACCGGACAAGCAACCGGCGCTCGAGGATCAACCCTCCAACTGATCAACAAAACAAACACCGGACAGGAGGAACAGACCAGACAGAAGACAAGACAGCAGCTGGGAGAGGAAAGCATCAGCTCGCATGAAACAGAGTACCTAAATGGTGGTAATTGAAACATGAAACTGATTGATGTGAAAGTGTGGTGGTGGTGTGTGTGGGGTGTGAGATTGACAATAAACCAAGCTGCTTGCATCCACTAGGCTAATCTCTCACTATAACAACAAAAAAAACCTGTTTAGACACACAAGCCACATATGCATTGTTTGCACACACAGACACACACACACACAACACCACAAGCACAACACACACTCCTTCAAAGTGAGACAAGTTTTGATTATTTTGTTCCGCCATCCTGATTGGGCGAAATCCAATTTATGAAAAAAAATAAATAAATAATAGAACAATGAAAATGTGTATGCCAACATAAAATGGACAGAAAATGAGGCCCCCGATGCTGGCCTTATATATTGGACCCCATGTTGGCCCTGTTCTGGGCACCAAACGTTAGAGTCTTTAAATTATAATGGCCACATGTTTGGCCCTGTTCTGTGCCTGCCCACGTTAGTCTTTAATTTGGGCCCCATGGTTGGCCCCTGTTTTCTTGGCCACACGTTTAGCTGCTTTAATTGGCCCATGTTGGCCTTATTTGGCCATGTTGGCCCTGTTCTGGCCCATGTTTGGCCCTGTGTTTACCTTTATTTGGCCCCTCGAAGTTGTCACCGAAGACGACCAGACAGATTTAATGAGTGTGCAAGAG